GTGACACATCCCTCAGAGAGACCGGGTTTCCAGAACGCTTCAGTGGGAGGAAATCTTATCGCATTTATCTGTGGCAACACATCCAGGAGCCGTCTGAGGAGAATCCCAGAATCTCACATCCTCTTCAGCTCATAAAGTGCCAATATGATTACGCACAAGCGTGACCGGTCAACCACCGCAGACCGGGTTGGACCTGTTCAGGTTTACGCAGATAATCTTTACATTTAGAATTGGCATACAGGTGTAAAATTAATGCAGTAAAATATAAAGCATTTTATTTAAATATCCATTCATTATTTTACAAGCACAGAGAGCCGCATCAGATGGATGGAAGAGCCGCATGCGGCTCCAGAGCCGTGGATTGCCGACCCCTGTGCTAGCCAACTTTATTGTCCCCAGCAATTTTTAAATCCCACTCAAGTGTATGGTTATTGTCCCCAGCAATTCTGAAAACAAACTGACGCCCTTGGCGTCAGGCACGAATAAAAGACAGAAAGTATCAGAATATGATCGGACATGAACGGTCGTGGGTTAATTAGATTTTTTGGGTTGCGCCACGTTGTCAATGCGCCGTGCGCAGGACGCAGTTGCCAGGAGCGCATCAAAGATCAGCGCTGATCCTCCTCTCTGCTCAAGAATCCCCGGAGCCCCGAGACGTCATACTGATACACAGCCCTGGGTGTGGATGTTGAGGGCTTCCAGCCCCGCCGTAATTCTAGCTCTGCTCGGACATTTTCTTCAATATAACACAGTGCGCCCCCCCCACCCCCACCCCCACCCCCCCACCCCCCACCTTCTCATTTATGTTGTTTTTGACAAAAACAGCTCTGCTGCTCCATAATGATGCATTTTAAACATTGGTGTTGTGTTACTGTAATATGTTATAATTGAGATAAATAATAAAATATGACAAACATTTTCAAAATGTGGGACAAAATGACTTATAAGCCAACATTTTGAAAAAAAAAAGACATTTTTCACATTTTCTGAAAGAAATACGTTGGTTCAGGTTAAAGTTCATTTTTATTACATATAATGTTACAGAAAGGGGCGTTCAGGTGCTGCTGTTGATGTTAACACTGGAACGTCGATGGTCCAGACTGAGATAAACGCATTAAAGTTAGGCTCCGCCCATTTGGGTTACTATGACCACCAGTGCCTACTACTACTACTTCTTTCACCCTGCCCACGTGATCATTTGAAGTGACGTCATAAAGGCTCAGAGTTCTATTATCTAGCATCAGCCAGCTCCCACTTCATTAGCAGTCGACTGCTGGTGTGAGACACATCGACTCTCTGAGACAATCATCTTTTACAAACTCAAACCTTTTTTCTGAGTTTGATAAAAGACCAAGAGCCTCTAGAATCATGTCTATTCTACATTTTTCATCTGAGGATCTCCAGCGGGAATTATCTGGGTGTAAACACCCCAAAATTTATTTTTCCCATATGGCGCTCTTGGAGAAAGTCCAGTCTCAGCTTTTAATCACGGAGAAATTGTTAAGTGATGAAAAGCAGCAAACATTACAAGCAGAGACTGAATTGGAAAAATACAACAACATAATTAACGTGCTGGAACAAGAACTGGACGTTTATCAAGACAATGCAGAGACCTGCAAGGTCACCCAGCAGGCTTTAGAGACCAAACTAAAGAAGAAAGCAACTGTGTGTGAAAATCTGCGAAATCTTTTAAAGCAGGAATCCCAGCTGAGACGTAGATTTGAACAGGGGAAGATAAACGACCAGATTAGGAACAAAGTTTATCAGAAACTAAGAGAAGAAATTAGTGAACTGAAAGAGGGTCTGGATTACTACCAGGTTAACGCTGAGACCTGCAAAACTACAATTCAGGCTTTGAAAATTCAGTTGGAGGAAAAACTAAATGTTTCTGAAAGTTTGCAAAACCAGTTAGGACTGGAGTCAGAGCTGAGACTGCAGTTGGAAGAGGAGAAACAGAATAAAGACTCGCTCACCGAGGCTTTATATGAACAAATCAGAGATTTAGAGATTATAAACGGTGTTCTGGTAGACGAGATGAAAAGTATCTTCTCTGAGACGAACGAGGCAGAGGAGAAGCTTTCTGAGGAGGACGGAGAAAAGGCTTCTCTCTGTGGGGAATGTGAACCCAGTTCAGAGGACGAAACTCAGCTGGGACCGAGTCTCAGATTAGCTGGGCCAGTCCAGCAGGAGTCGTCTGGATGTCAGCATCCAACTTTCGATTCCCTTTTCCAGACAGTCGGCTCCGAACACCTACGGCTGTCTCGCCTGGACACAAGTCTCAGTGACCAAGCTGAAATAAGCTCAACGGTAGAGAGCGAGTGTAAAAAATCCAGAACTCTGATTGATGAACTCAAACAGAAACTGGATTATTACCGAGGTAAGGCAGAGTCCTGCAACAAAATGATGCAGGAGGTAAACTTACAGCTGAAGGAGAAAGATAATCTGCTGGAAAACCTCCAAAAGCGGCTCAGACGGGAATCTGAGCTGCTGAGATCCAAGTTTGATCAGCATCAGAAAATCCAGAACAAAGACAAAGTTTATGAGAAATTAAAGGTAGAAATTAGTGAACTGGAAGAAGGACTGGATTACTACCAGAGTAATGCAGAGACCTTCAAAATTACAATTCAGACCCTCAAAACTCAGCTGGAGGAACGAGAACAACTGATTGAAGACCAGCAACAGCGTTTAAAACAGGAGTCAGAGCTGAAACTCTGGCTCGGACAGGAGATTCAGAACAAGGACTCGTTCAACGAGGACTTAGAGACACAAATTAGAGATCTGGAGAAAATCAACCATGATCTCTCAGAACAACTGGAGACCTTTAACTCCAGGAAGAACACGCCTGAGCCAGACGAGAAGCTGTCTGAGGAGCTGGAAGCCTTTACGTACCAGCTGGTAGAAGAAGCTTCTCTATGTGAACCTCAGGAACAAACTTCTGAGAGTCTGGAGCCTGACGCGGATTACGAGATGGGACATGATGTTTGCTCTCCACCTGAAGAACAGATAGATTCAGTGGAAGCAAACAGAAGTCTCCATGAAAACGAGCCTTCCCCCAAAAACAGCGTTCAACAAACAATCAGGAACCAGAACGTTTCATTGTGGAGGCGCTTCAAGAAGTTTCTCACTCCAGCGTGTCTACGGAAACATAAAGTTAGGCCTTCAATTAGCATCTGACCCCCAAAACACTTGGGCTTCATGATGAAGTCACCAGTTTAAACCCCAGCTGTGACCTAGCAAAAATTAGCATTAGCATTCTCTAAATTTAGAAATTTTTATGTGAGTGAGTGAGTGAATATCCAATCTTAGATGCAACACCCCCTTAGAGCACACACAAGCACACCAGAAAAAAAAAGGGCTTCCTGATGGAGAATTAGTTCTCCATCATGAATGCGTGGGTTTACTCCGGGCGCTCCGGTTCCCCCCACACACACGTAGGGTTAACTAGTGACCCTAACATGTCTCGGGGTGCGAGTGAGTGAATAACTGATGCAGCTTTCTTTAACATAGAAACATGCTTGCTTAGTGTGGGGATTGCTGGAAAGCCTCTGACACAAAAAGTGGGTGACTCCATGCAATCTGCTGCGTTTCCTTAGGTAGAAAACCTTTAAATGACTGGAACAATGAGCTGAACTCAAAGCACTTTTAATCAGTAGAGTCAACTGGAACGCTGGCTCTGTAAAGGCCTCTGAGACGACTCTTGCTGTGGATTGGCGCTTTATAAATAACCTGAACAGAACTGAGTTGTGGGGAGCAGACATGTAGAGCCAGGCTTTGACAGCTGGTGTTTAGAGGCGGCGCGCTGCGCCAGAGTGTCGTCTCCCGACTCACGTGGTAAAACGGACATTTCACCGACATTTAACCTTTAACCTCCTGAGCATGCAAAACTGTGTTTCTTGTTCTATCGCTCTTCTCAAACACGGTTAACAGGACATTTAGAAAGAGACACAGGGTTAAGGTTAGGATGGAGGCGAGGGGAAGGTTAAATCGCTAGAGGTTAAAGGTTAAATGTCGGTGAAATGTCAGTTTTACCGCGGGCGTCGGAAAGCGATGCTCTGACACAGCGCGTCGCCTCCCAATGCGTCGGAAACAAACGCTTGGTCACCCGTCAGTTTCAGCCGCTTCGGGTGTGAGAATGTGTTGCTTAGGCAGAATGCTCAGAACTCTATGATGTCACAGAGGCCGCAGCAGAAATTGTCATGTGCCAGGGTGAGTGCTCCTCTCATCAGGGGCGGATTTAGCAATTTGGTGGCCCAAGGCGAACACAGACATGGGGCCCCTTACACTAAATTTTCGACAATCTTACCTTTAACTGGATTTGCGAAACTCTCCCCTCTTCTGACACGAGTTATTTTCACTTTTTATTAGTCCTCCTCTTTTTTCCTGTTTTTCTCTCCCTTTGAGTGCTGTCAATATTTGCTCGGCTTTCTTCTTCCTGTCAGGGCTCCTGTGCTTTAGCCTTAGTTATTTTTTTTTCTATTTTCCATTTTGGTCTATGTTTTCCTCCCTTTAAACATTTTCCATTGTCTTTCCTTTCTGCTTCCTTTTGATGTTTACATCAAAAAACGACGTCACTTTCAGAAGTGAAAATAAAAGCTTTTATGAAGTAAGCAGCTTCTTTCTCTTATTGGAGCCACTAGGATAACTCCATTTCATGCTTAATGTTTTGACTATCGCTTTGAGGTTGTTACGAACGCCTCTGCCTCTCTTCTTATTCTTATTTGTGGTCTTATGGCACTTGGCAAACAACAATTTGGTGCATTACAGCCACCAACTGGATTGGAGTGGAATGACTACCAATCACTTCCTGTTTGTGCATCGCCGTCTTAATAACCCTCTTATGACCATAATTATAACAGGGCCGCCTGGTATGTTTTTAATCTTGTGGTTGTAAAATTGTAATAAAAAGTACAAAGTGTGTGTAACTCTTCTTTTTTCAGAACAACCTCAGCTTTCAGTGTATGGCTTGTATTTAGAATGTTTTTCTATTAAAGCCTTTAAAGGAGCATGGGGCAGGAATTGTCCAAAAACAAAAAGTACATGTTCATTCTTGTGAAGCTTATGGGTGATGAAGCATTTTAAACTAAAAAGAATGATGAAACCAGTTTATCATTCCATTTTGTTAATCAGGCTGTGTGCTGCAAAATGCAAAACATTCCTGATCCGAATTTCCCGCGCTGTTTTACGGATATGACGTTAATTGACGCTTCAAGCGCGTTCTCGACAAGGTTCAAACCCGGAAAAACATTTGGAAGCTTGCTAGGTGGCGGTAACGCGTCTTTCACTACTAGCCACGTTAAAACCCCAAACAGAAGAGGAAGAACCCTGGAAATGGTTTCTACAACTAGCAAACGACCAAGCACAACTCAAAGCCCACTAAAGAGTGGCACAAAGAAGAAGGTTTTATCAGCGGCATCTCGAGAGTCAAAAAGAAAATATGATAAAAGTCGGTCAGGGACCCGAATATCTATTGGTTACGCTCTGGAAGAATGGAGGCTGCTTCAACTGGATTTGGGCCTGAAAAAGGATGCGGACATGGCGCATTTTCTAGTGACCAGGTAAGTGTTGGTCTCCTTATTTCTGCTGTAGGTTTCAGTAACGAGTAGGTAAACATATCAGAGCTGTATCTGCACAATTTGAGAAAATAAAATAAAACTTGTGGATTTAGATAATGCTGATTTAGGTAATCTAACAAATCTTAGTGCAGATGAACAAGAAACTTATCTAAGCTAACGGTGTTTAGCATATGGCTTCCTGATCAGTTTGAAAAAGCTAAAGCAACTAAGGAGTAATCGGATCACTTCTACGTTTTGTGGACGACACGCCGCATGTGTTTGGAGATAAATGGATGTTCCGTTTATTCTGACGAGAAAAGTAAACAGAGCTTGATTTGATTATATGACGTCACCGATCAGCCGGAGAGAGCTAGCGTGCGTAGCATGTTAGCTGCGATCACGTTTCAGTTTGTATGTACCACAGAAGAGAATGGACATTTTCCAAACCAAAGATGAGTCTTTAGAATTATGTCATATTTGATCTACAGTCCAACCTCTAAGCTGGACTGTTACTTCAGTAGATAATGTTATTCGTGGGGTTTGTGTAACAGAACCCCATCAGAATATATTTTCCTAGCGCTATTGCTGTGCTACATAAGAATAAATAATAAGTCAGCCATAACAACACGTTTGACTAAAAGTAAAGTTGTGCAGAAGTTTGTTTTTATTTTTCTAAATTTGTCCAGTTGAATGTAGGTCAGAATAAAATATGTTTGTGAAAATGATAAATAAATTTTTTTATAACTGACCTGCATTTTCATATTACTAGTTGTGCCACAGGTAAAGATGCTTAGCCATTATTGATCTATGTAAACAGAAGGTGTAGAGTCTCAACCAACTTGTTGACATTTTTGTTTAAAAATGTGTTTTCCAGCTACCGGAAGAAGCAGGCTCCTGAAACTGCAATTCAGGGAGGTTATGTGAAGGCAACCTCGACACCCAGTAAGAGAATAGCAGCTAAAATGTCGCATAGATTATCTCCAACTGAACCTGTGTCTGAGGGGTTAGTATCTTTTCTGTAAAACAAATATTCACGTTTTTGTGCTATGATATTTCATACATTAAATTACACCTTGCATATCCACACTTGGTTCAGAACTAACATCACACCACCAAACACTTCTGACATTATCTTTACAGGGAAGATTTTATAATGGCTGGTGTTGAGGCCTTAGCTGATGACCAAGGATTGGATCCTTTTGAAGAAAGGTAAATATGTTCATGAGAAGTCTTGCCATATACGCAGGAAATTACTGCTGTACTATGTGCAAAAAAGATAAAAACACAATAGATAAGCAAATATAGGTCATTATATATATTTATTTATTTTGTGAAGTGTCAATTCACGGCAGATTGTTGTTATTTGCAGAAAGAATTAATGACAGATGTATTAGGCTCCACATTTATCTCTTTATAATCAGTACCATTTCAGGTGAGTTCCAGTATTTATCTTTACGTATATTATTGTGTTGTCTGTAGTTTCAAATCCATGGATCTAGCTACGGATGCAGTCCAAATCCATGAGGACCAAGCAAATAACTTACTCAACAGTGTGTGAGTTGCAATGGCTTCTTTACACTCTTTTTTTAAACTCCAAAGTCTTACAACAATATATTAATTCTATTTTTATTTATTGTTTTCATAACAGATTAGAACTGGATGAAAATGGTTCAAATCCTATGGACAGTGATTATGTGCCACCGATCTGTATACAGTATGTATTTCTTTGTAGTAGATCCTATGATCTGTTTCCTTAAGCTTTGTTGGTAGGGTGGGTGGTGGAGGCGGGGCGTGCATTTTACATGTATAAATGAATTAAGACGATGATGACTTACATTGTTGTATCCTAAAGACAGTTCATATATTTGTTTCCTGTCACACAGAGCTGCTGGTGGTTTACAGCGTGCAGTTGATGCTCTACCCATTGTTGGGCTGGACGAAAGTGTCATTGACATTCTTCAACGAGACGATGAAACAGATGAAGAAGCTGACAACCCAGAGCAATATGAGGAGGCGGACAATGATGTACCCTCCTTCCCCAGTGTAGAGAAGGTCTCCATAGAAGAAGACCTAGTCAACCAGCCAGCATGCATCGCTTTCACCAGCAGCATGGCAAGACTGGTCAATTTCCTCCAGCTGCCCATCCAGAAATGTTTTTATAGGGACAAGATGATTGGTACAGAATGTGATGCCACTCCACCATTTCATGTCAAACTCAACCGAAGGGGAAGTGCTACCATTATCGAGTGGGTGAGTTGACTTTAGATGTCATTTTGGTTATTAACCTGAAAATATATACAAAACACCGAGTTTTACACTGGTCAGGTTGCTCTTAGAATGACATAAAGTTAGGCACCTATTTTACAGAGGATCACAAATATTTTGGATGTAGCCTATAAATATATTTGATTTGGAGCTGGAGATCAGAATTTCCTTGACAGGCAAGCCTCAAATTATGAATTTGGTTAGAACACAAAATGCCTACACATTGAGCTGCTGCTAATATAGACATCATATCAGATTGTAGATATCCTGATACAAATCAACACGTTCTTGTCTTTTCTAGTTTTGCATTAATGGGCATATGCTGTGGAAGTGGAACAGCCAGCCTGTCCTGAAGTACGCGATGCAAGGAGGGGACTTCATGGTTGCCACCAACATACTCCTCTCTGGCAATAACTTCTCAAAGCTTGCCCTCTTCTTTAGGTTTATGAATATTGGCTTTGTGTCTCCAAAAACATTCAGACTTATACAGAACCATTACTTGGTTGACTCTATAAAATATTTTTGGGAGAAGAAGAGAGCTGTCATCACTGCCTGCGTGCAAAGGACAGTGTTGTTGCACTTGGTGAGTATGGAAATGCACTACATAAAACAGCAGCAGAGAATACTTTGCATAAACAATTTGGACTAACTTGCAAGTGAAAAAAGTTAGCAATTAGTTAAATTGCTGTTATGGGCAAATTATTACTTCATATATTTTAGAAGATATTTTATGATTTGATGTATATCTAACGTTCTAAATTTTATACATCTATAATATCTACTAGCCAAGAGTTCAGGTTCGAATGTCATATACTTGCATTTCTCTGTTCCAGCGGATGGAAGGATGGACTCTCCAGGTAATATTAATTATTTTCTAATCGTTTATTTTTGTTGACAGGTTTTATGCAACCTAAAATAATTTTTAAATTGTAACAGGCCACACTGCCCAGTTCTGCACTTATACGACCATGGAGAACGACTCCAAGGACATAATAAGTGTTGTCACTGTTGACAAACGACAAACCAATCGCAACAGTGTGATAATGGAGAAGCATGCCTTCATTCAAACGTTTGACAACCTTTTGGCGGACCTGAACATTACTGAGATTGTCACAGATGCGCACATGCAGATTTCTGCACTGTTGGGTAAATATGTCTTTATAAGGATTGCAACACTTTATGTTCCACATTATGGAGCATGCCACAGTTCATAAATTAACAAAAGGCAACATTGTAATAACATAATTGAAGAATACTGTGATTAAACCTTACTAAGTGCTTATTTATTGCAGATCCAAGAAAAGGAAGATACAAAGAGAAAGCTATAATACATTCCTTGGATGTCTGGCATGCAGCCAAAAATCTGACCAAGAAACTTCATATGGTAGGATTAATAACAATGGATGTTATTGTTTCAAATATTTGTGAATACCAATAATAATAATGAGACTTTATTGTTGTTATTGTTGTTGTTTTATAATCTTTAGTGTGTTCTTGCTGTGTTGAAATTCTAATTCCATCGGTTTGCAGCCGCAGACGAAACGTTTCAGGGAAATCAAACCTTTCTGTGTTTTAAAAAGAACTAAAAGATGGAATTGTTATATCCTTGTTCACAGGCTGGGATTCTAAAGGGAAATTCCATCCTACTTGTGTGGCTGAAGGACATCATCAACCAATTTTGGTACATTTGCCAGAAAGCACAACATCGTGATATGTTTAATGTAAGTATTGTGACATCTTTTGGACACCAAGACAACAATGCACTTTGACATAATTAGGCCCGAGCAGCGAAGCTGCGAAGGCCTATTGTATCTGCTCCGTTTATTATTGTTATTTTTATTTATTTATTTTTCTTTTTCTTCTGCATCTTTGAAGGGTCTTTAGGGGGTCTTAGCATATTCAAAAAGTCACCAAATTCTGGCCCAATATAGAAAGTGCGTGAAATTTACGTATTTTAATGGCAATGTGAAAGTTGGTAAAAAAATTCAAATTTTTCAAATAAAACTTATTTTTTCTGTTAGGACATGTAGGTGGGTGTGCTTCACCATGTCACAGGGAAGCATGAATGGACCCGTGGCAAATGTGACCATGGACCACTTGATGCAACGATCAGTGATAAAGAGCTCATGGTGCCAGGATCACCACCACACGAGGCTCTTCAACGAATCATGTTCAACAGACGCTGGTTGAAGGATGTCACCAAGTATCTGACCTTTAGGTATATTAATAACATTTTCATAAGCAAAAAAGCTAAAGTGTCAATATCAAAGCTGACAATTTACATATAGAAATGACAATTGTGGGTGAAAAGGCAATCAAAAGTGTGATTCCTAATAATCTATAAAGTTGTAGCTTTTGTTTTTTTTACAGGTCAACTTCAGAACTGGAGAGTTTCCAGAACTGCATTCTCATGTATGCTGGAAAAAGGTAATTTTATTTAGAATTGATTTGTACATTATTTGTTATAATTACTAACTGAAATTATTACATTTTCCAGGTTATGAATGACAAATAGAAATATCTAGCATGTGTTATGTCCTAGCAATATTAGTCCCTTGAAAATTATGTGGTTCAATTTTTATCAATCTTCTCCCCCCTCTCCATGCAAAACAGGTTTGCCTTCTCTCCTCCTGTCTACGGAGCCAGGTGCCTTCTTGCCGCGTTGGATTACAACCACCACAACCACCGACCAGATTATATAACCCGGAAAAATGAGAAGTCGTAAGTCTAATAGTTTTGTTTATTTTCAAGGCAACTGAATATGATCTGTACTTCAAAATAAGTTGTTGGATTTGTTACTGTAAAATATTTGTGTTGTTGAATGAAAATGTAGAAAGGTGGACCTTCAGTAAATCCTGTAATGCTTGTCTTTTAGATACAAGCGACTCTACAGCAAAAAGTCACAAAATTACCGCGTACAATTGGTCAAGGTTGCCAAAGACTACAGCTACATCCCTGAACTTCAGCGTTGCATCCTCAGAAAACGTATGGATGGAGGGCCGCTCCCAAGAAAGGCAAAACGCAACCCCGATGATCCAAGAAATCTTGGGAATTTAGCTGGAGTTGTGGCAACCCCCACGGCAGAACTGGTCCAGACACAAATTCGCAGAGGACAGGTGTGTCATTCAACAAAATCCCACATTTCTTGCCAGCTCAATTCTAATTATGTTTATTGTTGTACTGGTTAAAATAAATAAATAAACCTCAGCATAAAATATTCAGTTTCACAAGCCATCTGCTGCACCTTTTTGCAGTTTTGGATGTATCACCAATTATAATACACCAGTATTTGTCTTCTTTTTTCCTATTTAACATAGTTTGGGTAGATGTATTTTTACCTTTCATGTTTCAGTCGGATCACTTACGCCTTCGCCAGAGTCGCCAGCTGTTCGAGACGTCGCTTCCATTTATATGCAGGCAGCAGATGGCGACATTGTCCCTCTGCTGCCTGCATATAAAAGGAAAAAACATCTACCCAAACTGTGTTACATAAGAAAAAAAGAAGACTATTATGAGTCACAAAGTAAGAATATACAGAAGAACACCAGTAATTCATTTATAAGTCTGGAACTATTTGTAATGTTCACTCTACCTGCACAACACATCACTTTTCTGTTGTGCCAAGGTCAAGTTGAAATGACAGTTACCAGATTGGATGGAGCCTTGCTATATGATCTAATGCTGCTGTTCTCTCTCCATAAAGGCCCCAGCTACGTGAAGCATCAAAGGACAGGAATGACTTCTTTCATGCACACTGATTTATTAGAAATTAAGAAAAATACTATGTACAAATGCAAATAACAGAACTTTTTTGTACATAAATAAAAATAAATATATTGCACAAACAGTTTGTTTATTTTTGGGTGAAAATGCTGTCTTCAGCTAAAGTTATTTTGAGGTATTGGTGTTTTGGAACTAATGTAGTTGTAGATAAACGGTTTGGATTTTTAGTCTGCAACCCTAAATGGTGCTTCTTTGTAACCAGTGTAATTCCCAAATGGATCAGGGAATTTCTCCCGTATACGTAGAACACAGCAGCTTGGAATTGGTCTCCGACTTCCTCTTCCCAGACGCCCATGTTGCCAGATTGTAAACTGACGATACGCAGCAAAACGAAACTCTCGGTTGTCTGTGCCCACATCTTGGTTGTCCTCTAAGGCGAAGATGTCGTTCCAGGTCATCCTCACTAGACACAGTGTGCCCTCATCCAAGCAGTATAGCTCCAGGTGAGCACTTCTGCTTAGACAGAGTTCCGGAACCTGCCTACAGCACAGATTTTCAATCTGTGTAGGCATGCGTCGGCCGTTCTGGCAAGTGCACCACACAGGCTGCCCTCGATCAGGAAGATGGTGTCCTGGCGTCTCTTGCCGAAACTCCAGGATATCCAGCATCACCCCTGGAAGACGGATCACCACTCTCTCGAGAATATAATCTCTCTCCTCCTGGCTCAGGTGTTGTAAAGCTGTCTAGAAATTAAAGAACATATGTTTACATGACTAGATTCATATCTCCAGTGAGTGATGTTATAGTTTTTGGCACCTCTCTATTTTTTTATTTATTTATTTTTTACACAAATGGCTACAATCAACCTGCATCTCAACTATACTGGCAGCTCTCAGCTGTGCAAGCCGGTCTCGGTCCTCTTCTCTGAAAGCTGATGTTCGCTGCCTACCCCGGCGCCCTGGTCCTCTTGAAGGAGCTCTGGACCTCGACCTGCTGCCCTCACCCCTTGAGCGTGTCCTTCCCCGACCCTCCGAGCGACCTTTTCCTCTCCCTTTTCCTTTACCCCCTGGTCTCAGACTTTTCCACGACACATCATAGTCTGTGCCTGAGCCTGCCACAGGCACATACTCTTCATCAGAACTGTTTTCCATCACTCCTTCCAATGTGAATTCCTGAAAATCAATGACAGTAATGATAAAAATGATTGCATTACCCTGTTGGTCTTCTTGATATTATGATTTTATTTGATGCATTTTTTGAACCAAACATTGATATTTATGTTCTTCTTTACATTGTTGTGATACCTGTCCTGCAATGAAATTGGTTTCACAAATGATGACAGTGACTTGAAATTGGATGTTCTTACATTATGTATTAACAATAACATTAGCTTGTTAGTAAGCTTAGTGCAAAATAATAACTGTAATTTGTCTAAAAACATCAGAAATCACCTGCAGCCACAAAGCCTTATGCTGATAAAGTAGCATCATGTTACTGTCTTGCTAACCAGTCACAAAACTGGCTTATGAATATTTCATAGGAAGGAGCACTTGCTTTACATCAGGAGTGTCATGGCTAAATTAAAAAGCTAATGTCATGGAATTTTACAAATATTAGACAAAAGGAACAATGTTACTTACTTCATCGCTCGACATGGTGCCTTGTTCGAGCCGCACTCTGGCCGTACGTCACTGAAACTTTTTTTTTTTCTAGTGAAGAGTTTGTGCGCGCTCTCGTGCCGGGCTGCAGTTACTCACAGCGCTGAGTGCGTTGCTAATGAGTTTCGTTTCTTCATCCTGCCCCATGCTCCTTTAAAAAATCAGCTTTAAAGTGAAAAAAGCAAAAAACGGATTTGAATTTTTTTTACATTTATTACTGAACAGGAACTTCAAAATTACTGGGCGAACAATTTGGAATGAACAATTTAAACTTTGATCTGTAATGCATCTATTCTTAACAAAATTTGAACCTTGGTATCTTTTTTTAGCAGTTTTAAGACCATTTATTTTTGTAAACTTTCAGACGTTTTTATTTGATGTGGTAGACCTTGAAGCAGTTCCTCTCCAGCTGCAGGCAGAGTCCTGCACACCTCCCCCCCCCACCCCCCACCCCCCCACCCCCCCCACACACACACAATCTCTGGTTCCGGAGCCGGCCCAAGCACCCGATCCACTGGCGTCCGGAGCTCCCTCCCGAACATCAGCGCCGCAGGAGTGCGGTACGCCCACAACACCATAGGCAAATGTAAATCCCAGTATCTCTGATGTTTGCTGGTGGGGATCACCAGCTGAGTCGCCAGAGTACGGTTAAACCGTTCCACCAGCCCGTCACTCTGGGGATGCAATGGAGTGGTTCTAGTCTTTGTCACCCCCAACCGCCGGCACACCTCACCCAACAGCTGGCTCTCAAAGTTTCTCCCCTGATCGCTGTGGAGCTCCTCAGGTACTCCAAAACAAGAGAACATCTCATCCACCAACTGCTGAGCTGTAGATGCAGCACTTTGATCTGGCATCACGTACGTTTCTGGCCACTTGGTGAAGCAGTCCATGGCTACCAGAATGTAGCGATTTCCAGCCTCTGTAGTGGGAAAGGGCCCGAGGATGTCCACCCCGACCCGTTCCATCGGTGCTCCAACCAGGTACTGTTGTAGCGGCCCCTGGGAGCGCTGAGTAGGCCCTTTTTGGCTGGTGCAGATGTCGCGGCAGTGAACATGGTGTTCCGCGTCCTGACGGCAGCCCGGCCAATAGAACCTCCGCCAGAGCCGTCACACCGTGTTGCTGTTGCCAAAGTGTCCCGTCCCCGCTGCCCCATGAAGCCAGTAGAGGACTTTTTCTCGAAGGTTTCGTGGCACCAGCAGCTGCAAGCGGCCCATCCCTCCTCCCGGTGCCTACCAGTGCCGATACAGCACATCTCCATGCAGCTCCAAGCTGCCGAACTGTGAGTGCAGGTTCTTTAATTCAGCCCCACGCAAGGATATGGCGGGCCACTCTGGTCTCTGGGCGTCCCGAACCCAGGTCCTCACCTCCGCCAGAGTTGGATCAGCCTCCTGCTGATCTTTTAGTTCTTCCATGGAGAACAAGTCCCTCTCTTGTTCCACGGTAGCTTCTGCCGCTGCAGCCGACGGTTCCTGGTGCTGCTCGCTCGCTGCTGCTGGAACAGGTCTGGTTCTCGCTCTTCCTGGCGGAGACAGTAATGACACTCAGTCATTAAACATGGGCGCCAGGACAGCGCGTCAGCATTAGCATGCTGGTGACCGGGGCGGTGCTGGATCTCAAAGTCATACTCCTGCAGAATCTCCAGCCACCTAGCCACCTGCCCCTCCGGCTGTTCAATAGGCAGGTGAGGCTAGCATGATCAGTCCGAAGCTTAAACTTGGTACCTGTTGTGTGTCTGGGTGAGTACTCCTCCTTCTCTACAACATCTTTGTGAGATCTTCATTCCAGGAGAGGGCACTCACCAGCTGCGGGGCATTACCAATCAGCGGCAGCTGCAGATCCTCAGATCAACCGCAGCTGAGCTCTATTTAAGAGGAGAGGGAACTACTTCACATCGCTGAATGATTAGCTACTCACGGTAGTATCTTGCCTCTCTCTAGTCTTAGGTTATGCTTGGTCTCTGCTCAGACATTTTTGCTGTCGCAGTATTTGGATGTATTTGGATTTTTTCTTGGATTCTTGTGTTTGGACCATTGTGGACTCAAGTTTGTATTCCTCTTCAGGATACTTGGAAACGCTGAACCATTGATGGAATATACCTACCTGGAACTCACCATAACCCGCCTGGAGTACAACTCTCACAGGTCGCCTCTCCTCCTGTTCCTCCTATCCTCTGCTGCCATCGTCTGGCTCCCTCTCCTGGACACACCCCGTCACACCATCTGCCCTCCCTACTGACTTCTGGACTCTTTCTGGCTTCATTGAACTTGGATATCTCCAGGACACTTTTAGTTAGGTTAAATAAATCATTGAACAGCTGAGATCTGCAGATGAGACCCCTGCACCAAAGTCTTCTTCTAAGAAGCCAGACCCAGAGCCAACGTCCGCATGACTAGGCGTGGCTCAACCCCCCAGCGTGGCCAGGACCTACCTAATCAGCTGGGGAAACACTACTGGTAGATCACAGGAGTCTCCTGAAATCTACCCCCCAGAGAAACCTGATACTAAGTTTCTGAAGTTCCTTGGTGACTTACCAAACCATGATCATGCTCGCCGTTTGTACTGTAGCACCAACGTAGGTGGATGCATACAGGTTGATGCTCTGCTGGATACCGGCTCAGAAATCACCCTGATGTGCTTCACACTGTTCCGTCGCGTGTCTGACACCATGCGGTCGCTCGGGAAACCAGTCCAGGTAGAACCCTGTGACCTGAAAATCACCAGCTACACCCAGACCCGGGAGTGCATCACTCACCGGGCGTGGCTGGACATCACCTTCCAAGACATGACTCTGGTTCACCCGTTTTATGTCTGCCAGCTAGACACTGAACCACTTCTCATTGGTCAGGACCTGCTTGAACGTCTAGCTCCCCTCATCGACTGCCAGAAGGGTCAACTGTGGGCCCAGGTGGAAACACCTAAGCCCTGGAACCCAGATAGCAGCCGACCATCCTCCATTCTTGAAGTCAGCCTAAGTGAGCCGCAAAACCCTTGTTCCAAGGTCATGCCCCTCCCTACAGCTCCCACAGACGATGTCCGCCTGCAAAGGCACGAAACCGCTCCTGGAACTCCGCTCCGCACACATTCATCTTTTCTCTGCTCGCTGAAGAACGTCAGCCTGCAGCCATATGCACCACACATAGTTGGTGGTCTTACCATCAACTGGACCCACATCTCAGATGCTTGCCTTGCTCTTTGGTCAGAAAAGTCAGCCATCAGCCAGCAGACGTTTGAACACCTGCGTCAGAAGGACCCCCTTCTGGTCAGTGTGACATGTAGCAATCGGCTCTTGTCACCTACTTGGCCGCAGAGGCTCCTGAAAGCGCCAGAGGTCTGCTCCCTGACTATCCAGCTTGGAGCAAGACAGCTCACACATACATTCAGCATCATACCACAGCTTGATCCACCTGCACTCATTGGAGCAGATCTGCTGGTTCGACTCGGTGCCCAGCTGGACACTTGCAATCAAGTCCTTTGGGCCCGTGCCACACCATCCTCTGAGCCTCGCTCAGAAGGCCCTGAACACTTGCTGTCCGGACAGACCATTCCACAGGCCTGCCGTGCAGTGGTTGAGGCCAGCACGGTTCTGCCCCCACTGGTCAAAGGAGTGCCTGTTCGTCTGACTCTGATGAAGCATCAGAAGCTGCCAGGCACCCAAGCCTTCTTCCAGCCATCACCACACTTCTTGGAGCTCAACTTAGCCGTCTGTGGCACGCCACTCTTGGAGCTGAACAATCGTTCTGCGTACTTGTTGGTCGAAAATCCGACCCAGAGTCCTATCCACATGCCGGCAGGAAAGCCCTTGGGCATGCTGATACATAGCTCATTCCATGACTTCGAACTTTCAGTCCCCGTGATCAGACAACTTCCGTTGTTCTTGAACGACAGACAGGTTGGTGCAGACACATTCAGTACTTTCCCCTCACAAATGATTACCATCAAGCGGCATGAAGCCCTTCCTGAGGAACCCATTTGCAGTGCAACCTTAGATGCTGACGGTGGTCAGTGTCTAACGGTTTTTGCAATAAATACTCAACCCTCTGAGTCACCGATTGAAAGCCCGGAACACCAGAGACCCTCCTCCTCTGAACCTTATGACGGCTTCGAGGCCGAAGTCAGCCAGCAGCTTGACAAAGCGGATGCGCTGGAGTCAGAGGAGCAGAGAGCAGAGCTTAGAAGCCTGTTCTATGAGTTTCAGTCCGTCTTATCCAGGGACTCCCTGGACTGTGGACTCACAAACCTGCATACGGTTCGCATTCCAACGAACCCGAATGCCCCTCCTACTTTTGTACGTCAGTACAAGATTCCCCTCGCTGCTTATGAGTCGATCCAGGAGATCCTCGATCAGCTGAAGGAGAAAAACATCATCAGAGAGTGTAACTCCACTTACAACTCTCCCATCTGGCCGGTTCTGAAACCGACTGGGAAATGGCGTCTCACCATAGACTATCGTGCACTGAACAAACAAGTACCTCTCTCCAGGTGGCCTATGATCCATTTAGATCAGGAGCTAGCCAGAGTCAGAGATGCTCGTTTCTTCTCTACGGTTGACGTAGCCAACGGCTTCTGGACCATGAAGGTTGAGCCGGCGGACCAGTATAAACTGGCTTTCTCCTTTGGAAATCGCCAATATACTTGGAACCGCTGCCCCTTTGGCTACTCTAACTCACCTGCCGAGTTCAACATCTTCCTCCACAAAGCCATGTCAGATGCTGCTTCCAGAGGGAACCTCATATATGTCGATGACATCTTGATGAGGAGTCGAACCTTCGAGGAGCACCTGGCCGAACTCCGTCACGTGCTGCAACAGCTCGCTGACGCCGGAGCTAAATTGGCGATTCTCAAAGGACAGTGGTGTAGAACCAAAGTGGAGTATGTTGGACTGCTGGTTGGCCCTAAT